GTCACATCGAATTTGAATATGTAGGTGAGTTGTCCAATATTCTTGTCTACAACATCTGGAGGTGCCCACTTAAGGGCAGTGTCAACTGGTCTACCTTGGACAACACCCATAGGGTCGAATATAAAGGAAAGTGATATCGTCGAGACGATTATGAACTACAGGGCATATTCGGTATGCAGGTGGTTCTCTGGCGCTCTGGATATTCCCGGTAATTTTTTCTATCATTGCTATTTATAGGTACATATGAGCAAGTTTTTTGTTTGGCATATCAGTACTTTTTCGACCGGTTGGACGGTATCTTGTGCATACATTTCCATCTAGTTTATGTGAGAATGTCACCGTTGTATCCGGCCTTATGATATATTCTTGAACTCCATTCGAGGCGCGATAACTTCCTGCGATAATGGGTACCTACAAACATCTAGGCGAGATAAGGCTCCGTAAAGTTTTAGTGCAAATTCTTTAAGGTTTCTAACCCCCTTGAGGTGGGAAGGTCATTTCAAAGCGACTTTTGGAAGAGGTGACTTTTGGCTACATTTAAAGCTTGTTTATGGGTATAAACCTACTTTATGCGTCCAAACTGGATGCAATCCTACGGCTCTTCTCTGCCACACGTGCTAGTAGACAAGAGGAGGCAAGTTGGTCGCGATAAAAGGCTTTTGTATAACGCCCCTCTCACTAGGTCTCCAATTGCTGGTTGGCGCGAGGTATTAGAAAGCCTGTAGCGGCGAAGAGCCGTTACAGTGCTTGGCAAGGGAGACCATGTTGTGCCCTTATTTGGCAAACCTTTAGGTCAAGCTGCTTGCTGCGTCATGGAAGATCATGAGAAGGTATACGTCATCAGTGGCCGCATTTCCTTCTCTCTTACACAGGCACGAGTGACTTGTTCTACTGTGTGGGTCTACTGGTCATGCGATCGTGTGAAATGGCTGATGCAGCGGACCAAACGTAAGCAGGAACCCGTCCCGGATCGAATGAATTATATAGATTTATAGGCCAGCTCATCCCCTAGTTATTTAATATTTGGTTACTTGAAGAGCAGCACGAGTTTTCCTCGTCCCGATAATGGCTTCGACTCCATCAGCTCCCACGCTCAGATCTCATCCTCTTAACTATTATGGGTGTGGTAGTGTAATGTAGGTGCAATGCAAGTCTGCCGCATGTTTAGAGCCGCAGCCCCACCCCTCATGGACAGTGG